TTAGTACCATTTGCCTCAGGCAGGCAGACAGCTGTGTCCCAGCCAAGCTTTGTGATGGACTACTCTTCAACTGTACATTACTTACCCAAATTCCCTGTTTGTAAAGTAACAATAGATTTTTGGGTTTGCAACCAACGTGACCCTCTAATGAGTCAGCCTTCATGTACGTTTGTTCTAGGCACATCCAGGTCAGGGGCCCTGAGGCAGGGTGAAGAGTGGGATCAGTCTCTCCCCTTCACTAGGTACCAGGAGAGCTTTAACACCAGCAGAAACCGTGAAAAGACTTACCACTACGTGTATAGTGTGTTGCTGTGGAGAGCCCCCAAAATAGCAGCAGGTAGCAACGGAGACAAAAAATGCAGCCATAAGACAGAAGCAAGGGCACAGAGCAAGCACAGTTAATTAAGAAGTAGCAAGCATATGCAGTCACCCAGCTAAACAAAGTAAGCAGTTACCTGCAAGTTACAATAAACAAGTCATTCAAGCCACAATCAAGTCTTAAGGTTAATTTCAGTTGAGACTTCATGCAGAGAAGTGCCAGACAATCCTGAGCTAATGGTTACTGAGCTATGGTATGCAACTGTACTAAGAAAGGGCTACCACTGGGATTGTCAATGGCTGCACTGCATTTCACTGCTGGGTAACATACTCCTTCACATGGCAAGTGTTAACCCTTTCGCATTATCAGAGAGGACTATTAGAGAGAGAGGCAGTGTAATACACAATAAATAATGGGTGTAAACCTACTTGTCCTTAAAGAGACCCATGTGCCCTAGCTCATTTTCTCCACATTGTTCTCAATTACAAAGAACTGAGCAGCCCTATTGTTCTACCAGCTATGTAATTTTCCATGCTGAGGCTGCTGTGCATCACTTGTCCTGCTCTGTGAGCACAGTGCTCCCTGCTCACCGAGAAGGCCAGGGGCATGTAGTTTCGGCGTCGCACCAGTTTCTTCCGGTCCCGCTCGATCTTTTCCTTCTGAGCCAACTGCTGATAGTACTCAACCAGTTTGTTAATCTGGAGGGATGAAAGAGAAAAGAAACCCAGTGAAAGGGGAACAAAGCCAGATGAGCTGCAGTATTTGCTTGTGAAAAAGCTGGGCTGGGGTTCCTGCTACTTGTTTTGCTCTGTTCCTAGTGCTCTACTCTGAAAGACAGACATTAAACAAGCCTGTGTGTCCTAACGTGTCTTAACCCATGCTTAACTCACCCTCTGTGTGTGAGGATTCTCTGGCTCCTGCCAGCCACCACTAGCTGCAAGAGAAAGAGAGAAAACAAGGTCCTCAGGAGATTTCCAGACTCCACACAGAAATCACATCTAACACCCAACTACCTCAGTTTTATTCATGAAATGACATTCCCCGTTTTGTTACAATTACCACTGCAATTCTGTAAGTTCACACCTGCACAAATATACACCTCTGAAAGCTTTTCACAGGCAGGTTTGGGCTGAAGGAGCTTCAGCAGCTTTTATACTGTGTTTTTAAACAACTGATGTTTGAGAGATACTCAGGAGAGCAGCACCTAGGAGTTACTTTAGCAGCAGGAACATGAGTTAACAAGAATGGTCTCTTGTTACTGGCTGCCCATGTCTCTGCATCTTCAGCTCCCAGTCTTCAGTCACATCAACACTGGAAGTCAGAGGATCTGCTTGGTCTACTCAGCCCTGCTTCTAGAGCCTAACAGATATTTTCTGCACGTCTTATGCGCCAAGAAATAGATGAAAGCTTGTTCCAGTGCTGCCATGAAAGAAAAACCAACTACAAACACTGACTCGCAACTCTGGAGTAAGCTTAAGAGAACAAAAGTGATGGAAAATAAATTAGATGTTTATGCTGTCAGACTGAGTGGCTTCAAAGAGTCTGCAGGTACATAAACAAGACCTCAGCTGTGAGGAGAGTGCACCAACTGAAAAGCCCCTTTTTTGACAGCTTTCTCACTAGTCAGGCAACACAAGGGTGGAAATGGGTCATGTATTCCATTAACTCAGCTCTTCAGACTTCAGCAACAAACTGTTTTCCTGTGAATTTCCAACTGTGACTCCAAACCTAGGCAGATACTGCATGTATCATGTAATACATGTCTTTGACTGTCACTTACCGACAGACTTATCAGCCATGCCAACGTCCCGGGAAGTCCAGCGGCAAAATCCACAGGCCAAGTAATAAGCTTTCTTCATGGTAGTCTTGGCTGGGTCATCAGGGAGTGGAGCAGGAATGCTGGTGGCCCGGGTGGAAAGGGTGTGCATACAGCAGGGGCAGTCAAAGCAGTTAGCACACCTGTAAGGAGGAAGGTCTATTAAACAGTGCTCTGACAAGGGTCAGGAAAACGCTCTAAGCAAGCAAATCAGGATTAAACCAACAGACTTCTCATTTATGCAACAGCATTAGGGCAACAGAGCCATCAAACAGAACAGGGATGGTTCAGAGTAGATGATCTTTAAGGTCCCGTCCAACCCAAACCATTCTCTGAGTCTATAAAATACTGGGTGATACTAAAATGTGTTATGAGAACGGGAGAAGGAACTGTTTAAAACAGTAAGCCTTGATGAAAATAAAGCTAAAGCAAGCTTACCTGTTCTTTTTCAGCTTGGCTTCAGCTGAAGGCATGTTTTCCAGGCAGCTGGGGCAGTAGTGAGAGTCCACCTGATAAAGCAGAGGGCCACATCACACTTCCTGGCACACATTTGTCTAAGGCAGCAGCATGCTGGCAGCAGCCTGAAACTCCGCCACACTATGTAATAGGGCTTTGTGTCTGCCAGCAGACAGGGGAAGCCAGGAAGGACTTCAGACGCTTTTTGGTATCTGAAATCTTAACCTGTCTCAGCCAGATCTGAACCTTCAATAATGTTCCTTAAGTCAGGATAGAATAAACTATTCCATTTAGTAAATGGGAAAAGGACAACTGAGTGTTGACCTTCTGCAGTGCTCAGAATTCCATGCAGGAAACAACAGGTTTTAATGTGCTTTTTTTCCTTTTATATCTACACTTACTCTACCTTTGTAGTTAGACCGGTCAGATACACACATATGTCTATGTGCTGTCATAAACTGATTTTGTAAAACAACACTAACAAGAAGAGGGCCTCTTCTTGAAGGGGAGAGTGAACCAACCATTAAACATGGCAGTGCACAGTGACTACACCGGTCACGCTACAGCAAAATCATGACGGATGCAGTGTGGTGACAAATCTATTTTCTACTCCTTGGAGGCTCTATCATTTCCGAAGAGATCTCCTCGGATATCCGGGTTGCAGAGTCATTCCCTCCAGGCTTTTCAAATCTACTGTAATTTCTTAATTCACACAGGCTTCTACAGAATGAGCTGTACTGATTTGATTATGGTGATGGGAGAAGTCACAGGAGCAGCCATAGGTTCCAGGCTTGCACAAAAGCAGTGCCCCATGCACCAGACCATTGCTCCAGCCTGATGATCACCTACAGGCTCCAGCCATTCCTGGCCAAAGAACTAACCCTCCACAGCAGAAATCCCGCTGTAGGGCACAAGCTTGTCCTGATGTTGATAAACTCGCATCACCCTTACGCCTGACACCACTGTCGTAACGAGCACGCTGCTTTGTCATGAGCATGGGCTTTGTTAGACCGCTGCGAACGCAGCCACATCCGGCAAGCCCAGGGGCCCGGCCGAGAGCAGCTCCCTCCGTGCAGCCCGAACCCGGGAGCGGGGCTCCGTGCTGGAAGCTGCCGACCCTGCCCGGTCATCACCTCAGGCCGAGACCACAGCGGGGTGTGAGGCAGTGGGTGCCCCTGCCCTACCCGGGGGGGGGGTCAATGGGGATGTGTGTGTGGGAAGGGGGTCCCGCTGCCCCGGCTGAGACCCACAGAGGAGGAGGGGGCAGAGGGGGGGGTCCCGCTGCCCCAGTAGGGCCTCATAAAGGGGCCGCTCCCACTCAGCCGGGCCCTACACCGGCAGGGGGGCACATGTCCTGCGAGGGGAAGTCTCCTCTCAGCCAATCACAGCCCGTACTCCGCCGACGGACAGAGCGCGAAGCCAATCCCAAGCAAGGCACCGCCCCTTCGGTCCTCCACGGCCAATCACCCCCGCCGTATGCAGGCACCCTCACCCGCGCTACAAACCAATAGCAAAGCAGACTGCGAGTGAGCAGCAGAACAGCTACCCAATCGGTGAGCGCAGAGAGCTCAACGTTCCTCCCTCGTCACGCCCCATGCCTACGGTGCGGCCCGGCCCGGCCCGCCGTTACCTCGTGCGAGACGCACTCGAGGGAGCGGAGCTGGCGGCAGTACCGGCAGAAGTACAGCTGCGACAGCGGGGCGCGCAGCTCCTTCTCGCCGCGCACCAGGTACAGCACCCGCTCCGACTGCAGCAGCGACGCCATCTTCGCACCGGAGCGGCCGCCGCCGCCGCTGACGCTGCGCGTACGTCACCGCCATACGTCACCGCGCCGCCCCGCCCACGCGACCCCGGCGCGCCCTGCTGGGCACGGCGGGTGTGGGTGCGATGGGTCCTAAAGGGGGTCCGCAGAGCGCGGTCATTGCGGGGGGAGCGGGGCGAGGGCTGACAGCACGGGGTGATTCACCCGTTCGGAAGCCGATGGTGCAGTCACCGTCCCTGGAGGTGTTCACACACCGTGTAGATGAGCCCCTCAGTGCCATGGGTTAGTGTTGGCCTCGGCAGTGCTGAGGAACTGGACTTACCTTAAAGGTCTTTTGCAGCCTGGTTGGTTCTGTGATTCTATAGTCCTAACACACTCTCCTGTGTGCTACCCGATTCCCTCTGCTGTGCTTCTGTCACTGTCCGCAAGGCACCCTCTGAACACACAAGGCACCAGACTTGCTCATCCTCTTGACTTCCGTGGTCCCGACAAAACCAAACATCCCCGTGTAGTGGGACCAGCAGATAGGTGTGACGAGTATGGATGCTGCGCTTTGTGTTCGCAGGGCAGAGCTTGCAGCTGCAAACCACCTCCTCTCTGCTCCTCAGCATGCTGCCAAGCACCCAGCATGGCCTTGGGCTTCAGCTTCACTTCCTCATCCCCACCCTGACCCTGCACAGTGCCTGGTGTCAGCCCACGGCCTCCAGAGGAAACCCCTGCCCATGAGGATCTGCTGCCACTTCATGATAAAACCCCGCATGCTTTTTATCCAGCAGCAGCAGCCGGAGGGGGATGTGCTGTTGGGAAGAGGCCGCTCCCAGGGTTCGGGGTTGCTGCATGCCCAGAGGCCAGGGGTGTCTGAGGGCACAGGGTAATGGTTTCTGCCACCAGGAATCCATCAGGTTTCCCTGGGAAAGGCAGGGTGAAGAGTGCAGTGTGAGGATCCCACGGTGGGTGACACCGGGATTGTATCCCAGCAGGAAAATCAGAGCATCCTGGGGCCAGCCAGGAATAGCTGCTGCTGGTTCTGCCCTTCAGCATCACTTGCGGAGCAGAATATTCCACTGGGCAGCAGAAACGCCATTCCCATCCAGCGGGATGAGGTCTGTTGCCTCCCAGAGATGCTCTCTGCCCTCTCTGCCTGTGTCTCTAAATCAACCCTGCCCCAAAGCCCTGGGGAGCGCTGCCCGCACCTTGCTGTGCGGGTCTATGGAGGCTCTCCCTATGGTTTGGCTGTTCCCTTTTGCTAAGGCAGGTGGGTGCTTGTGACCCCACTGATGGTGAGGCAGGAGGATGGGGCAGGGGAAAAGCCCTTTGTAACGCTGTGAGATGTCCCCACGGTGCCTCCCGGGCACCTGAGACCCTCGAGTTCGTCTCCAAAGGGTCCCTCCCGCTGGGACCCCGTGCTGGGGGATGCTGAGCTGGAGCTCCGGCTTTATCCTGGCACAGGCAGAAGATCCGCCCTCCCTTCCTTCCTTCCCCTTCCCCTCCTCTCCTCTCCTCTCCCGCCGGCCCCCTTCCCCTGCCGCCCCTCGCAGGCCGGGCCGGGCCGGGCCGGGCGGGGCCAAGCGGAGGCTTCTTCCCCGGCGGGGATCCTGCCGCTGCCGCCGCAACCGGACGCGGACCCGGACCCGGAGCAGGGCAGCGCCGCAGGTAGGGGGCAACGGGCAGGACGGGCGGTGCTGATGCTGCCTCCTTCTCCTCTTCCTCCCCGCTGTGCCGGAGCCTGGCGGGGGTGCGGGCTGTACGGGGGGGGCTCAGCGCGGTCGTGACCCCCAGCCCCTCATCCCCGAGCCCCGCTGCTAATGAAGCCACTAACTCCGTGACTCAGCACGAGGGGATGTGTGTGGGGGGGGTCCCCACGAAGCGGGGGGGCTCCGGCCACGCTGCTCCCGCTGCTTCCCCACCCGCGAGTGACCAGCGGGATGCCTGGTTTGTGGCTTTGCTTTATCAGCTCCTTTAACAACGGTAACAATTAACAGGGAAGTTTTTCCCTGGGCTTTTATCCAGCTGCATCAGAGCACGCTGCAAATCCCGGGAGCATGCTGTAAATCCTTCTCCAAGGAGGCTTTTGCTCTTGAAAGAGACCAGGGCTGAGGCTGGATGTGGGTGTAGGGGTCTCCCCAGAGAGCAGTGGGTGCTCAGAGCAATGGTGGGGTGTTTCTGCCTATGGGAGGGATGGAGAGTGCTTCCCCATCACCCCTCTACCTCTCGCTTGCAGGATGGACCTCCCTGACCCCGTAAGTCCTGCTGCCCTCCCCAAGCACATCCTGGACATCTGGGTCATCATCCTGATCATCCTGGCCACCATCCTTGTCATGACAGCTCTGGTGCTCTGCCCGGCCACTGCCGTCATCATCTACCGGGTACGGACTCACCCCACGCGCAATGGCATCGTGTGAGGTGGAGGCGATGAGGGACAGCCCACAGCCATGGGATCCTGTGCTGGGGACCTCACAAAGCCCAGTGGAGCACCCAAAGAGCTGGGGAGAGCCGGGCAAGAGCTGGAGTCGGCCAGCACCCGGATGCCTGCCCCTGTGCGTGGCTCTTCCACTGCCTCCTATTTACCTACCGAGCTCCTGGGGACTGTCAAGGGGATGGTGGCCTGCGTACCAGCCAGGAGATGTGTGACTTTGTGAACCTGTCCAGCTAGAAATGACTCGCTCCCATGAGGCAGCCTGGCTGGTCTCACCTTCGCTGGTGACCCATTTCCTCCCAGGCAAGCAGCAAGGTGTGGAAATGCCCAGCAAAGCTGTTTCTCCTTTGGAGTCCCAGCCATCAGGGTGGTTGGGAAAGAAGGGTCAAAGCAAGATGGATGTGGCTTCTGACTGAGCATTGGGAGACTCAGCTAAAAGCATCGGTGACAGAGCCCAGCCTGGCTGTGCAGCAGACAGGCAGCTGGGACCAGTTTCTCTTCTATCAGATACCTGCTGGAACTGTAGGAAAACCCTGTGGGGTGCTTGGTTCCCCTGGGTCTCATGGGGCAGAGGAGCATGGGCAGCTCCTGCCCACACAATGGCTGTGCTTTGTGCCCTGCTGATGGTGAGGGGCTCCACACAGTGTGACTGACCCCACTGGGAGGGTCTGTGCCGCTGTCTGGGAGAGCAAAGCAGAGGGGTTTGTGCCAGGCAGTGGCAAAGACCATGTAAGCTCTTACACTGCCTCTTGCTATGAAATAAATGGACTTTATTCTACACGTGGTGGTGTTACGTGGCTCTATCCACACTACAACGGTGTCTGTGCACAGGAGCTGAGATGCTTTACAGCCTCTCCAGAACCTGTCCCCATGCTGACCTCCTGCCCTGCATTGGCGCAAGGTCCCTGGGGTTCTTGCCCAGCCTTTGAGTGGCTGCAGCCCCATGCTCCGGGGGTGCAAACTGGAATCTGGCTTTGATAGTGGCAGCAGCCATCAGAGAGGGAGTGGGAAGGATCCCCAGGGATTGTCTGGCTGCTCGTGTCCCACTCGGTGACCAGCATCACATCCCGGGCGCTGGCGCGTGGCTGCAGTCCTGCATCCTGGGGCTGGGACGGCATCGCGGTGACTCACGGCGAGAAAGGTCACTCATAACGAGATGACTCAGGCTGGGCTGTGGTGATGCTGGTGGGAACAGGCTAAATCCCATTTTCTCTGCTGGAAAAAGCAATAATCCGGCGGTGTTAGAAACCCTGCATCCCATCCCTGTGTGGCTTGATCTGAGCAGCTTTGCTTTAGGTGCTGGGGCTGGAGGGGCAGGCGATTCCCAGGGAAGCAGGACCTGGAGAGGAAGCCCAGGATGGGGATGCAGCCCCAAGGGATCATAAGGGCCTACACAGGAGCCATGGGCTGCGGTTGTGCAGGGCGGCTCGGACACGTATTCCTTGCCTGTCCCACAAACACGTCTCTGTCTCTCTTCCCCTTCTCAAGTTGCAGGGTTTGAGGCAAATAACCGGAGTTATTTTCCTGTTGTTCCCCCCCTCCCTCCCGCCCTGGCTCGATGCCGTGGCAGCAGCTGGAGGAGATTATGGCTGTGCTGGGAGGGAGCAGCCCCAGCTCTGCCTCCCCACCACGTTCCACCCCGGGGCCCCTTCCCTGGGGACACATCGGGTGCGGGGACAGCCAGCGGTGCCTGGCACCGGGAACCGGAGCTGAGCTCCTTGGCTATGAAAGCAGTAGGGAAGGAACCACAGATACTGGAGTGGTTTGAGGAGGAAGCCTGGTTTGGAGCAAAACATCCAAGGAAAAGCACGCACCTCCGCTCTGTCCCTGCAGCCATACCCAGTGGCTGTTGCCACCTCTCCGTGCCCTCTTGTCATTAGCAGTCGGGGGGGATAAGAGGTTTCCTTTCCCGGCAGGAGTTTTCTGGGAAGCATCAAGCTCGTGGCAAACGTTTCCAGGAAAGGCATTGCAAAGCCTTGGAAAGACAGGTTTGTCCATGACAAAAACTGCACAGAGCAAAATGAGTGCAGGGAGAAGCCAGGACACTGTGAAAGCATGAAAATAGAGCTGTGGATTTAGACTGGTACGCACTGCTGGGAATTCCTCCTTGAGGACTGAGCAAGATAAGCAAATCCCCCTGTGGCCCTGGCTCCGGTGCCTGAACAGTGCTGGAGCTTGGAGGCAGTGCTTGCTGAGGAGAACTGCCATTTGCCACACAGAAAAAGCAGGTCCTGCAGTGGTGATGCTGCAGCAGGCAGGCACTACATGGTGTGGGTGATTCAGCATCCACTGGGATGCTGTGGGAGGTGAATGCTGGTGGCCCTGGCGGGAGGAGGTGATAGAGGATGCTCTCACTGGTGCTTCTAGAGTTGGAAGGGACCTTAAAGCTCATCCAGTTCCAATCCCCTGCCACGGGCAGGGACACCTTCCACTAGAGCAGCTTGCTCCAAGCCATCCTCCAAAGGGCGATGGGCACCGTGCAGTGCCTGCGGGAGCACAGGGACTGGGGCAGGGTGACCAGGGCTGGATGAGCTGCGGAGCCGGTTCCATGCAGGAAGCCTGGTGCTGGGGGAGCTGCAAAGCTTGTTTTGCTTTCGCCTGCTGCCGCACACCTAGAACAAAAGCTCAGAGGTTGCCCTGGGCCTGATGCTGGGCTGCCAGAACAAAGCAACGCTGCTGTCAGCCGGGGGATGCTGCCCAAGCACCCCAGTGCCATCCCTGGCACTATCCCCATCACTCCACTTGGATCCGGGGCACCCCAGCAGCCATCTGTGGTCCTCACATTCCCTGTACTCCTCACCATGGCCCTGCAGCCTGGCGCAAGGTCTCTGCACCCCTATCCTGTGGCTGGGGGACAGCGGGGAGGCCGGTGGCAGCGGCAGCGCAGTGACCAGGGGCTGGCCTCCTGCCCCGGGCTCCTGCCAAACATCTGCAGCAGGCGGGGGCCGGCTCCAGGCAGGCTCTGGTGGAAAACATCCGGGATGGGAGGTTCAGGCTAGGTCAGCCTGCACAGCGACCTGCTGGGAGGGATGGGGGACCCCATCCTGCACGCTGGAGCGGCATCCTGTGCTCAGATGGGCTTGCTGGAGCCCCCAGCTCCCTCAGCTCTCCCATGCTGATGTGCCAAGGGTCCCTGTGAAGCTCAGTGATGGGGTTCATCAACTGTGGCTCATTAAATCCTGCCCCATTCCCCACCTCCATGGAGGCTGATTCGGCACCAGGACCCAAGGAGAGGGGGTTTGGAGAAATGGGTTCCTTACGATGTTGATTTCAGAATCACAGTGCAGGAGTGGCTCAGCCTTTCCCTGCACGTCGCAGGCATCAGGGACACATGGAAGGGACACAACCACACTGTGCCACCACTGCTCCCTCCAGCCCCCAAGTCCCTGGTAACCACAGCAAAGCCACCAAAGCCCCACGCAGGCAATTAGGGGATATATTAGATATAATTAGTGTTGCTGCTCCCATGGTGGGAACCAGCAGGGCAGGGAGTGCAGCCCCCAGCAGCTCCCTGGCTCTGCCCCAGCTCTGGGTGGGAGCACAGCACAAGAGCCAGGCTCACACCAGTCCCTGTTGGGGCAGGATGCAGCGAGGTGAAAGCAGCCTGTTGGCCAGGAGCTGCAGCCCCATGGATCCATGGCCCCAGAGAGCTGGGAAGTGGATGGGGAGGGTCGAGCACCTGGTTTTGGCAAGGAGCTGCATGTCTTCACTCATGGCCACATCCATGAGGTGTGATGGGAGCATCCCTGCAGCCAGGATAGCTGTTGATGCATTGTGCTGGGCTCTGGTGAGAGGGCTTTGCCTGGACCTGGGTGAGCATCACACATGTGGGGACCAATGCTGGGGCAGGGCTGAGCTGCCTCACCAGTAGCAGTGCATGTTTAAAGCACTGGGAAACGCTGCCCTTGATAGAAGGACGTGCAGCTCCATGGGTTCCCTGTGTGTGTGTGTGTGATGTACCTGACCCGAAGCCCTCCCACACCAGCCAAGGCTGCACTCGGAGCCTGATAACATCAGCCTTTCCCAGGACATGGCGTTCCGTGGAAAGAATGGGAGATAGTTCCCAGCCTCCCCATAGCCCATGGCTTGGCTCCACTTCCCTGCTGGCATCTCCTGCAGCTCCGTGACAGCTCCCTGACAGGGCTGACCCTGCTTTTGAGTAAAGCCAAACCTCGTGTGGCATCCCTGTCCCCCTGGGGCCACTCTGTCCTGCCTCCATTGCAGGCCTGATTCTATCCCAAACCGCAGCCCCAGCTCCCCTCCGGCCAATTAATTGTCCCAATAAACAGCTTTACTGTGGGATTTGGGGGAATTTACACCTCCCCACGGTTATTTCCCTTGGAGCCAGCCCAGGGTAAATGTTTGTATTCCCTGGGGTATGCAAACAAAGCCCTGGAAACTCCTGCCCTATGGGGACACCAGGGGCTAACAGACAGTGGTGGCCATAGCGGGGTCACTGTGGGGCTGTGATCCCCCAGCCCTTGGGGAGGGGACCCCACTCCAGGGCTGCTTCTTGAGCACCCTAATTTTGCTGGGCTGTAAAGGGTCCAGCCATGGGAGGGGAAGGATCCTGGACCCCATCCCTGACTCCCCAAGGAGGCTGCTGGGTTCCCCATCTCCCCGGGTGCCCGCTCCCTTCTCTATGTGCCCTGTGCAGGGTGAAGACAACACCTGGCACCTCTTCCACCCTGAGCGGGTTTCAATCCCCAGCTCCCTGGCTCCTATAACACACTGCACATACCCTGAGCTCTATCTCTATCTATCTATCATCTATCTATCTATCTATCTCCATCATCTATATCTCTATCATCTATAAATCTATCTATAAATCTGTCATCTATATATCTGTATCTCTATCATCTATAAATCTATCTATAAATCTGTCATCTATATCTCTGTATCTCATCTATAAATCTATCTATAAATCTGTCATCTATATCTGTATCTATCTGTATCTCTATCATCTATAAATCTATCTATAAATCTGTCATCTATATCTCTATCTGTATCTCTATCATCTATACATCTATCTATCATCTATCTGTATCTCTATCATCTCTATCTATCATCTATCATCTATTGATCTGTCGGTCTATCAAACTATCTATTATCTATCTATATCTGTATATCATCTCTATCTCTATTATCTATCTATCTGTTGATCTGTCAATCTATCATCTATCTGTATCTCTATCATCTCTATCTCTATCATCTATCTATCTATCTATCTATCTATCTATCTATCTATCTATCTATCTATCTATCTATCATCTATAAATCTATCTATCATCTATAAATCTATCTATCTATCTATCTATCTATCTATCTATCTATCTATCTATCTAATCTATCTACCTACCTACCTACCTACCTACCTACCTACCTACCTGATCTCCCTGCCCCGTGTGCCGTTACCGGACACTCACGGTTACGGCACCCCCGGTCCCCCCCGCCCCGGCTCCGAGCCCGTCCCCGGCCGCACACGGTTAACGCAGCCGGGGCGCGTCCTTCCTGCCGGCGATTGGCTCCCCCCGCTCAGCCCAGCAGCTATTTCCCGGCTCTCGGGCTCGGAGGTGGCAGAAGGCGGCAGGGAGAGGGGGGGTTTGGGTCTGTCCGCGTCCCCCCCCCCCGGCGCTGTGAGCAGGGGGCCCGCACCCCACACCCGCCCCACACATGGGGGGCTGGCTCCGCAGCGCATGGATTTTGCCCCTGTTCTTGGCTGGGCTCGTCCAGCCGGGACAGGGGCAGGAGAAGGAGAAGGTAAGAGGAGAGGGGGGACCCCTAAGGGGGGTTTTGGGGATGGGGGCTGGATGTGGTACCCTGGGGACCCTCCTGTCCCCAAGGCTTCCTGCAGAGGTCCCAGGGGACTCGGTGGTTCTGTGACGCCCCCCCCCAATCCCGGTGCTTGGATCACGGGGTGTTTTTCTCCAAGCTATCTCTTGGGAATTGCTGTCCTAAGGTTGGGGGCAGAGGGGACAGAGCCTGGTCCCCTCCCCAGTGACCCCCACAGGGGCAGAGCAGGGGGCTGTTGATCCGTGCAGTGTCCAGGGGGGTGCACCCATGTTTGGGGGTGCAGGCACCCCTGTGTCCTCACACTGCAGCAGGCAGGGAGCAGTGGTCGCTGTCCCCCTCTGGTCCCCACAACCTCCCTGACACTGGTGGGAGAAGCAGAGCCCCACCACCAGATCCATTCAGCCCTGTGGAAGCTGAGCTGCCGGGGCAGAGCCCCCGTGACTTCATCTGTTGCCAGGTCCCAAAATAGCCCCTTGGTGCCACTTGGGTGAGCCTGGGTTCCCTGATGGGAACAGGACACGGGACCCCTGGGTTAACCCCTGCTGTGCCACAAGCAGAGGCTGCTCCACACCCTTCCCTGCTTGGGTCTGATCCATCCCTGATCCCTCCCTTGCCTGGGCACGGCTTGGCCACAGCACAGCAGCGGGTGCTGCTCTGGGGCACCCTAAAGGGTGCATGCAGGGGTGCTGGGGTGCTGCTCCCCCATGGCCCCAGGGAGGCTGGGGCTGCTTTGTCCCCAAGCCAGCTTGAGCTGTTTTCCAGCCTCTCGCCTTCCTGCCTGGCTGTGGCCAGATAAACATCCCTCCAGCTGCAGCTGGCCGCGGATGCTCAAGCCAGCCTGTCCATCACCGTGACCTTGGCTCGCTGGAGCCTGCCTGCTGCCAGTGGTATTTGGGGCAGGAGAGACAACACTGGCAGCTGCCAACTCAGCCAGGACCAGGGATGGACCCACTGCTCCAGTGAGCATGGGTGGCCGTGGGGCTGGAGCCCCCTGCTCCATCCATGGGATGCTCCTTGCCCGCAGGTGAAATGCTACGGCTCGGTGCAGGGCACCATCTACGACTACGGGGCCCTGACCATCGATGGGGACGAGTATATTCCGTTTAGGAATTACGCAGGGAAGATGGTGCTCTTCGTCAACGTGGCCACGTACTGAGGCCTCACCCTGCAGTATCTCGGTAAGGCTCCTGTGGGGTATGGGCACACCAAGGGACAAGGCAGGCGGCAGCAGCCAAGCGTGTAGCGTAGTCCGTCCTGCTCCCCTCCTAACCCAGCCCTGGCTCTGTTTGCCTGCAGAACTGAATGCACTACAAAATGAGCTGGGGCCCTACGGGCTCGTAGTCCTGGGCTTCCCCTCCAACCAATTTGGGAAGCAGGAACCCGGCCAGAACTCAGAGATCCTCCCTGCGCTGAAGTGAGTACTGGGGTAGGGGCTGTGGCCCCCAAAGCACAGGGCTTGGGGCTCCCCACCACCGCTGTGCAGCACCAAGCTGCCTGTTGCGGGATGCTCACCCTCCCCTTGCAGGTATGTCCGGCCAGGTGGTGGCTTCGTCCCCAATTTCCAGCTCTTCCAGAAAGGGGACGTGAATGGGGCCAAGGAGCAGAAGGTCTTCACCTTCCTGAAGGTGGGTGCATGGCAAAGAAACCCAGGCTCTGCATCCAGGTTGGGTTTTGAGGGGGACAGGACACTGATGCTCTGGCTCCCATTGCAGAACGCCTGTCCCCCGGTGGCAGAGGAGTTTGGGAACCCCAAGAACCTCTTCTGGGAGCCCCTGCGG